GCTGACGGCCTGGCTGTGGAGCAGAGGGCGTGCTGATCCCCAGGCTGGGACCTGAGCCTGGGAGGAGGGCACTGCTCCTGCGAGGAAGGCAGGGCAGGGAGGGGGTCACTCACTGATGGACGCTCCCAACACAGAAGGTGGGGATTTGGGAGGGGCTGTACCCACGTGGCAGTGGTTGAGAAGAAGCCGAAGTCAGAGAGGATGTTTGGGGGAGGCCACCGGTACAGCAGTGGGGGCAGGACCAGGGGCCCTGGGCAGCCCTCCCTGTGAAGCCCAGCGAGGTGTCCAGCCTGGCCAGCCCTTGTGGTTCCAGCCCCTCTGGAGTCCTGGGGGCACACGGAGGTCTGTCCTCAGGCAGGACCCCTCTCCGGAGGCTGGCCGAGCCCTCCCGTGCTTCCACAGACCGATAGTCTGTCCACAGTGGATGGAAGTTGGGAATCCTCAGCTGCAGAGCCCACTGTAGCCCGGCCGGCAGGAGCAGGAGGGGGCTTCGTGGCCGGGTTGGGGAGGCAGTGGAGACCCGCAGTAGGACGGTGGGAGAGGTGCTGGGCGAGAGACGACCAGGCACAGCACTGCTTCCCCACAACTCAAAGGAGACTTCTCCTTTCTCTCTAGAAATGAGGACTGATTTCAGAGCTTTGTGTAAATGGCCAAGGTCGGATCTTGTATTTGTGGTTTAAAGTCCGGCCACACACTCCGGCATCTTCGGGCGGGAGATGCTTGCGCGCCCCATCCCCGAGCTGGCCCACGCGGGAGGGTGGACGCCCCTGGCACAGGCCTCCCCGTGGATGCCCGGAGCCCATGAATGGAGAGCAGCCTGAGATGGTCCCTTGTGTTCTGGAGACAATGGGCTCTGTGTGGGGGCAGGGTGTGAGAGGGAGGGGCCATGGCCCAGCCCCCAGCCCCTTCCTCCTTGGTGGACTTGGGGTCTGTATCAAGCATCCCAACAGAGGTGAAGTTGGGGACACTGAGGCAGTGAAGGGGAAGGGCCATCAGCCCATGAAGGAACTTCTGAGAACCCACGCCCTTCGCGGTCCTTGAGGGAAGCACAGAAAACGGGGCTGGGGGACCTGGGGCCCAGGTCTGCCCAACCCCTCCTCCCCGCCTCCAGGTTCTCCTTCATCCAGAGGGTCTAGGAACCTCAAACGGATTCTGCCACCACACAGCAGCTCCTTTGATAAAGCAAAACAGAGCCCATGTCGTTCTAAATTGCTCTCTGGTTGCCAGTCCCATTCTCTTTACAAGCATCAGGAGTGTTTGTTGAATAGAACAGACAAAGCCTCATTGAGTCCTAGGAGAGAGGGTGTTGTGACCCCTGAGATATCATGACAGCTCCTGCCTTTGTTGTGTTTGCAGAATCGTGGCTAAGAGCAGGGGGGCGGGGTGACAGAGGAGACAGCTCTCCGATAAGCTCAGGTCCTGGACTTAACACTCTGGTAGCCTCTGTCTCCTCCGTCTGATCGCTGCCTCTCACAAGGCATCACCCTCCCTCTCGAAACTTGGCGCCGAGTGGCTGCCTTTCCTTGGCCACAAATGACCTTCACCTTGCACATGAGCAGTTGGTGTGTCTCTTCTCCTCTTGGAGCCTGCTGGCTCCTTGGGCGAGGTGATCACATCTTGGGCAGCTGGCACCAGACCCAGGAAGGGCGCAGTTTACATCTGATTCGTCTGTGTCCTCCCAGCTCCCGGCATAATGACAGGCCCAGAGGTGCTTAGTAAATGTTTGGTGGATGAGTGAGTGAGTGAGAGAATGAGAACCTTCACGATTCTCTCTTCTCAAATATGAACCACCAGTCTGCCCACGTGGAAAACGGTCTTATCACATCTGGAAAGCAGTACTGGCCACGCCCAGCGGGAAGGAAGTTCAGGCAGAGGCAGGCCTGGCCTGCAGCCCCCGAATCAGGGTCCTGACCCCGGGATCTGGCGAAGCTGCTTCTTGTTCCTGAGCCTCAGTATTTATTCTCTTTCCTGACCTGACACCTCCCTGGCTTCCTCCAGCTCCAACATCGCCTGATCTTTTCTAATGTAAAAAGAATGAATCAGGCAAGGATACATAAGGCTGCATTCTTCAAACACAATAGCCATTTTCTTGGCAAACTCTGAGATTTATGCCTCGGGCTGTTTCACAAAAATGCCTCCTTCTTTTCATATGTGGTAGCGTTTTTCTGCCTGGGGTGGTTTCCTCACAGGCACGTGGGGAGCAGTACGCGGCCGAATATCAGAGGGGACCCCCTGCAGAAGGACCCTCTCAAACTGATATCCCTGCTTTCAGGATCAGTTGTGTTTGGAAAAAAAAAAAAAAGTCAGCAAGAAGGAAATCCCCACCTCATTACAGCGATTGTAAAGTAAAGACCATCAAGGGAGGCTCTGAAATTTAGCGTCAAATTCTGAGTGAGGTTTACCATGGAGCCTGCGGTTTCAGGTTGATGGAATTTCTCAACAGGGGCCCTGGTGGCATTTTAGAGGGACAGTTCTACCTTGTGTGGGAATATCCAGGTGGTTGTTGTTAACATTCATAGCTTGTGGCAAAGACAGATTTCCAAGTGCCCCCTGGAGATGTGCAGGCCCTGGCCGAGACCACACACTGGCACATGAGTGCCCCGGCCATGGCCATCGGAGTCTTCAGATAACCCGTGGGCCACTGGTGTGAGGGTCCCCAGGGGCTACAGGCTTGGCCCTGGAGACTTGCCCACAGGTGTGACAGCCCAAGGGAGAAGTGACAAAAACCAAAATCACTTCCCTTTGCAGTGAAAATGCAAAATTTTGTCAGGGTCCTGTGTGTCTGGTTGCCCTCCTGACTCTTCCACAGTGACCACTGCTGCAGGTAAGACGTGTGCCTAAGTCACGCTGGGGAGACTCAGCCGAGCCAGGGACATACCAAGATGGACAACCTGGGGGAAGGATCTTGTGTTTGATATTTCATAGAAAAAGCACCTAAGTTCATCGTGGGGAAAATGAGAATCCTTTCGAATGGCCTTTCCCTTATTTTAGAGTATATTCTTCTTCTGAATTCTGTATTCTCTCTTTTCAGTGTTGGCATTTCTAAAGGCCTCTTCTCATCCTGGCTGAGAACAGCCATGTGGCTCGGTGACATCCTTGTCCCAACCATTTCTAAGGGAGCATTCTAATCTGCTTGGTCTCTGTGAGGATCTGAGCTCCACCTCTGGGGACCTTGCACCTGTGAAGGGGGCTTTAGTACCTCTTCCCTGGGAAGCACATGAAGGCTTCCTGGCTCTCCTGATCCAGCTGCTACAATGCCACAATCTGACAACAGTTCAGTAACGGGTAACTCCCTTCTCTCCATCTCTCCTTGTTCCGAACAGGAGTACAAGCCCTTGGGGAAAACAGTATGGCAACTGCTTATAAAGTTAATCATACACACACCATAGGACCCAGCGGTCCCACTCCTACTGTTTATCTGACAGAAAGATGACGGAATGTCTATACCAAGACAGCATGCCTATACCATGTTCACAAATGTTTACAGCAGTTTGTTCACAAAAGTCAAAACCTGGAAACAGCCTAGGTGTCCATCAACAGGTGAACAGGATCAACAAACTGTGGTATACACATTCAACGAATACTACTCTTATAAAAAGGAAGGAACTACTGAAATATACAGCAATGTGGGTGAATCTCAAAAACACTGCTAAATAAAAGAAGCAAAAAAAAAATCCACACTGCATGATTCCATTTATGTGAATTTCAAAAACCAAAAAACTCCAATCTGTGACTTTAGAAAGCAGAATAGTGGTTGCCTCCAGGGTGGAGAATGACTAGAAGAAGGCACAGGGAAGGCTTCTGGGGTGGTGGAAATATTCTGTCATGGTAACGGTGTGGCTTACCCTAGTGTCACAGCTGATCCGACGGTACACTTCAGATGGGTGCATTTCATTACATGGACATTACACCTTGATGGCTATAGCAACAGCACCATCAGTAATAGTAATACAGTAATGAGGCCGCCCGTGGTGTCCTGGGGGAAGTCATTCGCTTCTCCCCAGGTACTGTTGCACCCCTCAGGGTGCCTACTGTTATGTCTGGGGCGTAGTTTTGATTCTTTCAGAAGTCTCAAAGAGCTGCTCAAAACGAGTAATGTCAGTGTCTGCCCATCCGTCCGTCCCTTCCCTGCTCCCTCATCACCCCTCGTCTCTTTCCCTCCATCCCTCCCCGCTCCCTTTTTCTCTCTCTTTCTGTCACTCCCGTTCCTTTTGCAAGTCCAGGCGATTCTTTGCAGTTGGGTCTGGGTCTTCTAGAGTCTCTGGGATAAGGCCTTTCTGCTATTCTCAGAGCAGAGCGAACCAGCTTTGCTTTGAGCCTTGTCTACACCTGTGCTTCGGGTCCACCCACGCAGCCTGGGCCAAGGGGGAGGACGGATTCACCCCAAGGACCCCATGGACTGAGTAATGACAAGGGGACCCTGCTGCACCCACGTCAGATGCTTCATCAGTGACTTTTCCAAATTGTGGCCACCTGGCACATGCTGAGACCGCTGCGGGTTCCCACCGCATGGGCCAAATCCAGGGTGGGAGAAAGCTTGCCTCTTGCCAGAAATTAGCTTAAGAAACTGAGGCTGACAGGCCTCCTTTTCTCTCCTCCCCCCGCCCGCCTCCAGTGTGCCCTGTGAGCCCTGCTTCCCACCCCCACCTTCAGAGGAAGCGGATTTAATGCCGCAACTGAGAGATGAGATGCTCTGTTATTTTTCATGGGAAATTAAACCTGACCCTGCTGTCAGTTAGCTCATGCCAAGGGAGGATGGATAGCCCAGGGTGGGGCGCTGAACCCTTGTGAGGAGCACGTCATCTGGCTGGGGGCCAGCCATGATGTCACCAGCCACTGGGTGGGGGTGGGGTGGGTACAGCAGGACAGATTGGAGAGCCTTCATCTGGGTGACAGATGGCAGTGAGGCCAGCCTTGGTGTCACCCACAACAGTTCACTTTTGACGCCAACCGGGACCCACACATCCAGGGGACACTCAGGCTGCTCCTGTCTCTTTCAGCTCCCAATGCTACCTCGTGTCCCACTGAGGAAAGCTGGTGGTCAGGGCTGGTGATCATCATCGCGGTATGTTGTGCCTCCCTCGTGTTCCTCACTGTGCTTGTCATCATTTGCTACAAAGCCATAAAAAGGTGAGTGCTCATCCAGCTCTGAGCCCAGAGAGCACCCCAGCTGGGCTCAGGGCTCCTCTGCCCACCCCCATTCTGGTTTCTTTTAATTATAAAAATTATTGAGCATCTAATAAGCAGAAAGAATGTACAATGAATGCCCATCTACCTTCACCCTGATTCAACAGTTACCAAGATTTAGCTAATATTTACTCCATCTCTTTCCTTTCCCTTGTATCTTTTTCTTTGCTGAAATATTGTAAAGTTGATCTCTATGCCCTGGTCATTTTCGGGGGTTCAACAAGCATTTGAGGAGCACCAACTATAAGTCAGGCTCAATGCAGTATAAAGCTCTCCTGTAAGTCACAGGCGCCACTGTCGGGGGCTCACTCCAGGCCTGAGAGTACAGAAATAATCCTTGCAGGGTGGGTGATGGAGCCGCTGGAGGGAGGCATCATGCCAGTTTGGAAAAGGAACTGGGGTTTGGAGTCAGAGCTAAATTCAGACTCCAATTCAAGCTGTGTGATCAGGAGGAGATCACCTCTCTGGCCCTCAGTTTCCCCATTGGAAAAATGGGGGTAAAGAGTACGTCTCACTCGGGGGAGTGGTGAGATGCCTCCTGTGAAAGATATGCACAGTATGTAAACTCTGCAGAGCCTGACGTACAGTGCATGCTCACCAGGTACTGCACCAGCTTTCAGTATTTCAACAGTCAAAGACAGAGGAAGAAGGCTGCCAGAGGAGGGAGCGATGTTCTCTTGGGAGAAGGAGAGGTAGAGTTGCTTCACAGAAGGTTCTCTGTGAATGTGCCACCTAAGCTGGGTTTTGAAGGATGAATTGGAGTTTTCCAGCAGGGTCATAAATGATCCAAACATCAAATTATCTTTCAATAACACTCGCTGTCATTTCTATTAACTACCATCTCACTTTGCCTTTCAAAAAAAGTTATCGGGCACCATCCCCTTGTTGAGTTGGGGTCTGTGGCTCAGTGTGGTTACTTTGGAACTTGAGGAGGTTTGAGGTGTGTCCCTAAATATGGCAGAGTAGTCACAATGTGACATGCCCTGAAGTTACAACACAGCAGTTCTGGCTAGGTCCTTTGATTTCCAATTCTTAGCCTCCTCCAAAAAGTGGCCCCCACTAGCCTTGGGGGACACTGGGGGAAGACAGAATCAAATGACAAACAATAATGCTGCAAAACACCAGAGGATAATGGGGATTGTTAGTACATTTTTAAGAACGTTTTTAAAAATTCCGTAAGGCCCAAAATCAGAGGCTCGATATTGAGCAATTATAATACCAAAATTATCTAACTTTACCCTTCTAATCAGTTGTTCTATATGATTTCACTTTGATAATTCAAAAGCAGAAAGAGTAAAATATCAAGTTAGAAGTCTTAAAACGTGTGCCCGGTCAGGCACAGAGGGTGAAGGACCAGGTCAGGCCAACAACCTGGGAGTGTCCTGGGGACCCAGCGGAAGAGGCAGGAGTCCTGTTAGCTCTGATGGGGATGACACAGCGTTGATGCTGAGATCCTGCTGCAGCAGGAGGAGGACTTTCAGAAGCAGAGCAGGGGAGGCGTTCCAGGCCACGGCACCTGTGTGAGCAAAAGCAGCCGGCACCAGGAAGCCCCAGTGACGTGGGAGGTGAGGCTGGAGGGAGCCCTGCACCTGCCCCAGGAGGCCTCTGACTGAGGCTGGGCAGCTTCCCCATGACTCAGGAGGCACAGGGAGCTAGTGAAGGTTTTTGAAGAAGACTTTCAATGTGCAAAGTCCACCTGGGGCTCTGCCAGAGAGTGGGGCCTAGTCCCCTCAAGGACCCCCTTCCCCTCAGAGACAGGCTGCATCATCTTTTTAATAAGCTCAGGCTCTTCCAAAAGTTGCAGAGTCACTTCTGCCTCCCTCCCTGCCCAACATCTCCCAAAGAAATGGGCTGCCTGCTCCAACAGCAGCGGGGCGCGGTGGACTGGACTTAGCAGAGGACAAGCTCGCCTTCATATCTCTGCGCTGTGGCGTGTGGGCCAGGCGTGGCGTGTGGGCCAGGCGTGGTGTGTGGGCTTTGTTTCAGCGGGGCTGGGGGCTCCCAGAAAGGGTGTAGAGGCACCACCCTCATCGCCCCTCAGACCAACCAGAGAGGCCTCCTTTGTCTCCTTATGTGGTCTCTGGGCTCTTGGTTCCTGGGTCTGGAAGGACAGAGAACTCACCTCAGATGGCTCAGTGGACCCCTTGCTTGGTGTGAATGGGACTCCTTTCCAGGAGTGTGGAGGGGGCTCCCTCCAGGGGCATGGGCAGGGCTCCCTCCAGAGGTGTGGGTGGGGCAGGTCCGGAGCAATAAGATTGGTGAAGCACTTCTGGACTAAAGGCTGACTAAAGGCCATGGGAGTTGTTAGCTCCCCTAGGACAGGGGAAATAGTGCCGGGGAAATACTGCCAGGGAAACCCGGAGAGCCCAGAGACTCAAAAGAGGGTCCAGTCAGCAGGAGCTGTGGTTGGAACTGCTGGAGATGCAGCTCCGAAACAGCAAGTTGGAGGTGAAGGCTCCCCAACCTCTCTTCACGCTCCAGATCTCCTGAAGGGGCCTCCCATTGGCCAATCCCAAGAAACAGGGGAGCCCAGGAGATACGGGCATAGGCGTCGGCCTCTGGGGCCCACGCAGGAAATGGAGCACAGCCCCTTTTCTGCCCCAGCGCTGTGATCTTCATCCTCCTCAGGGCTGAGACCCAGCCCTCTGTGTCCAGAGCCTCACAATCCGGAGAGGGCGTCTCCGGTGCACGAGGACCGATAATCAAGGACAGGAGTGGGTGCTGCTCAGGGCCAAGTGGAGGCAGAAATAGAGGCCAGCTCTCCCAGAACCCTCCTGGAAGGGAAGGTTGATCAACCCCTTGCAGGCTTTGAGGGGAAGGAGGTAGCGGAGGTTACACCCGGAGCAGCAGAGCAATGCCCCCTCGCGGCTCCCCGGGCTAACCTCCGCCGGGGGCTGTAAGAGATAGTCTGGAGCAAGCAGCTGTCTGTCTGCGTTTCTCTCCAGAGTGAATGGAGAATGCCTTGCTCACAGTCAATTCTTCTTGGTTAATAATTCATCTGAAACATGCCTTTTCTCTCAGGAAACAAAAGCACTGCATGTCGCTGTAAAATCATCAAAAGGAAAATTCAATGATAAACCCTGCTTTGAAACAAAACAAACAAACACAGCAACAACAAAAAAAACCCTCTCACAGCCTGGAGTCCTAGGGGAGGATTTCCCAGAGATCTTTATGAATGGCCACAACACAGCCTGTTCGGAGCCAGATTGTTGAGAAGATGGTTTTAGAATCAGCTGGGGCGGGAAGGAGGTGATTCTGGGGATGCCAGCTTGGCTTGGCATGTGGGGTGCAACCACGGGGACGGGAGGAGACTGGGGAGCAGATGTGGAAGGAGCACCCTGCAGTGCCCTCACTTTGACCTTGATGGGAGGTGGGCTCTAACCAGCACTTTCTACACACAGACTCAGTGAATGAAACTTCATCCTGTGACTCAACAAATGTTCCCAAGGTCCTAACTTTGTGCTGGGTGATAAGGTGCTCAGGAGGCATCCAGGTTGGGGGAACTCAGATGAGGGGACCTCACCCAGACCTGGGGCCCTGAGAGGTTTCTTGGAAAGGGATAGGCATTAACCAGGGGTCAGTCAGTGGGACTAACATGTACAGTGGCCCCCAGTCCCCTGTCGATAACCCAAATTCTGGGAGGTTCCCAGCCGTGGGGAGCCCACGCAGCTTGCATTTCAGCGGCTCATTGCCCTGAGCTGGCTGTGAGTATCTTCCTTATCCACAGGCCCAGGATGGTCAGGCCCCAGAGCCCTTGGGTATTCTGGACCTCACGCTCCATTCAGGCCTGGTGGGCATCTGTCATCAGACAGCAGGACAGCCTGGAGCTGTTAAAAGAACCCAGTCAAGACCCCCACATTCCCTTCCTAGCCCCAGCCCAGCTTAGTGGGTATCACTACCCTCATCTGTAAAGTGAGGGTTCCCAAGCCTCTGTCCAGCTCCCTGAGCCTTTGTTTCCCTGCCCTGGGATGGCAGGAGGACTACTACCACCTCCCAGACCTGTAAATACCGGGCCGGGTGCTGGGGCTGTGCTTGGCTGGGCCGCTTTGGTGATGGGTGGTTCCGGCACAGCCCGGCCCTCACTGTCCACACCCGCTGTGGGGAGAAGCGGGCTTTAATTAGACAGCCTCACTGCGGACCAGGTATTACAATGGGAGAGGAGTATCTGAAGGGAAGATACTCTGTGAGCAGGGACAGAACCTCTTAATCTAGGGCAGATAAGGACCTCAAACAAGCCAGAGTCAGTGAGAGGCATGGAGATCAAGCTCCAAGGTGTAGGGTGCCCAGCACCAGGGGGGCGGTCCAGGGGGCACCCCGCAGGTCTGTGGACCCTCAAAAGTGAGGCCCGTCTAATAGGTGGGTTTGCAGGTTCTCTAACAACCACACCCTTTTTGCAGAAAGAGGCCTGTGTGGCAGAGAGCCACCCCACCACGCCTCGCCCTTGAGCCACGCCCACTCCCCGGCACAGGAAGAGCGTCCCGCCTCCTTCGGCTGCACGTGGCATAGCCCTTCTCCCTCTGCCATTGATTTGCCATTAAGCCCCTTGACAGCCATTTCCTTCTAATTTACAGAGTATTGGCTGAAAGACCGACAAAAGGCTGCAGAACAGTTTGGCTGATCCTGCAGACCACTAATTGCAGACAGTAAGCATGCATGCTGCTCCCTGGGAGCAGCTGTGGTGTGCGCCACGTGCCTGAGTGTGCCTGGGCACGCGCATTACTGCTGGGCTCCCGTGTGCATCAGCTTTTCTTGGTTGAGTTGCTTCCAGCTGAACAGGCACTTTTGCGCTCCCAAGTCTCCTTGATGGGCCTTAGAAACAAACCATTGGCTGGCACAAGCTTCTCAGTGAGTCAGTGCTGGTCCGTATGTATTTATTGAGCACCTACTGTGTGCTGGGGACTAGACTAGGCTTCCAGGATGTAGAGATAAACAAGACTGAGGCCCTTCTCGCCCCCTTCTAGTGGGGGAAGCCGATCAAACATACACACACCAGCAAATTCCTAGATGAGGTGCTTTGAAAGACTATGAGAGCTGTGAAGAGGGAAAAAGAGAACCTCAGCCTAATGAGGGAGAGGAAGAGAAGGGGGCGGGAGAGGGGTTGCATCCACCACCCAGAGAGTCAGGAGTGCTGTGCATCCCTTTGGTGGGGGCTTTATGGTGAGAAAATATGATTAGGACTTTGAACATTCATTGCCACCTTATATGTTAATTTTTATTTTTATTAAAGCAATACATGCCCATTGCACTACGTGACTCAGCTGTGAACAATATTTACATGACCATAACAAGGTAGTTTAAAATGTAGTTTCAAAATGTCAAATGAGTCACAGCCTATTACAACCAGCAGCCCTCTGGCCCTCTTTCTCTCCAGATCTCATTCATGAGAGGCAGCCACCTTTGAGTGTTAGCGGTTTCTTCTGGTTGCTCCTCCACGTTCTAAGTGTTGTGGGTACTCTATATTTTCTTTTAACTTTAAATATTGTCAGTTGACTTTTTACTATAGAAGATACGAGGTTCAGGACCCTAACACTACCCACATATGTACAAAATACTTCCCCTCTTCCCATCCACTTCCTGTAGGTATCTCCTAGGAGGGGATCAATGACTAGCCCGTGTCCACCTCAGTATGATAACGTAAATATTGTTCACAGCTGAGTCACGTAGTGTACCATGATTTGTTTCCTTTCCTGGACTTAGCAATGCCTCTGCTCAGTACGGTCGTATACCTCCAGTGATCAATCTGTCAGTTCCATGTTGTCTTGGAGACTCTGTCCTCTCCAGGTGGATGGTAGCTCTCTGAGCATGAAGCACCGCCATCGGACTATGACTGTCTTCTCTAACAGCCTTCCAAGCTCCTCCTGGGAACTTGCTGCACTCAGCTCTCTCCCTCTCTTCTCCCACTCCAGTCTTTTATTTCTTTAACTTGACTCTATCATGGAATTTTTCCAAGATCTTTCGTGAATCCTAGACTCAATGGCAAATCAGTGAAGTTAGTTTTTTTTTAGAATTGACATTCTTTTTGGAGCTTTGGGGTGACCCAGAATAGGGTTAGCTCTTACTGAGTGGGTAGCAAGTCCACAAGACCGGGTCCCGGGGAGCTGGGATGCCATGGAGGAGGCAAATGAGATTCCTGTGCTGTCTGAGCCGGAACATGCCTCTGTGGTCCGAGGGGGAAACTGAGTTCACAGAGATTTCCAGCCCTCCTCTCACATTCTTTGAACACTCAGGGACCTGCTGTCCCTTCTTCCAGCCGAGTCCTTACCGCTCACTCAAGACCCAGCTCAACACTCCTCTGACCTAGTGTCCTGGGCGGATGTAGAGTTTTCTTCCCCGCCAAGTGCAGAGTTGTAGCTCTCCCTGGATTTATGTTTCTGCTTTCTGCTCTAGGCCGATTAGCGTTGGTGTTTACACGCGCTTGTGCCCGAGTGTATGAGTGGCTGTCCACACACGCACACACATGCACACTAGAGGGGAGGGAGCAGTCATCTCGTCTTACTCATCTCTCTCCCACAGCTCCTGGCATCTAGTAATTCTTCCATGACTTTCTGTGGCTTCAGTGGAGGCTTGTTTGCGTAGACTTGCCAGATTCAACATTTAATATTAACAGACTCCATTTAGGATTGCAGTAAATTCAGTTGTTTTTTTCCTCTCCCTTTGGGTGGGTGAATTAGATTCTGCATTTAGAGTAAATAATGTGCACACCATTTTAATGCCTGGCCCCACCCCTTCACCAGTGTGGGTTTCCTGACCCTCTGCCATCTCTGTACCCCTCCCTCCAAGCCCCTCTTCTTCAGCCTCTTCCTGATACACAAGTTCCAGTGCATGTACTCTGACTCAGCAGCCCCCTCTCCAGGCCCGAGTGGCCCGACCCCGTCCCACCCATGTGTGACACACTCCCAGGCTGTGACTTCTTCGGAGGTGGGCCCCCACGATCTGCTGGCTCCCCTTCCTCTCAACAGGACATACCCAACAGCCCAGCCTTCTCTCCCCCTGGCCTCTGCTGGGCCGGTGAGTCACAGTCAGGGTCAGGGCAGGGGCAGGAAGAAGACAGCTGGGCTGGGTCCAGGGATTCAGGACAGGAGTGGAGCCTCTTCATCCAGCCTCAGCTCACCATGAACTTCCAGGAGCAAGAAATTCACCTTGGATGCATCTTGGATCCCTGGATCTTGAGACTGGGGTTATTTTATGTGCCAACACCTCTTGGGCCAGGTGGGGGCCTAATGCAGTGATTGAATGCTGGAGACCCAGCCTTTCCCATACATCACTTGTATAGCAATGTCAGCCCCGACAGGCCCCCAAATTCAACCTCTCTAGCTGGAAATCAAGACCATATCTGGCTGTACTGCGAATTAACTCAGAGTTAGTATGCTCTGAGGAGGCACCCTTTTGGAGCACAGATACATGGTCTTGGCTGCTCAGAGACCCTCATACTTCCTTCAGTACCTGGCTGGATTCAGGAAGCTGGTTTCTGTACTTTGTTCCAGATCCAAACTCAGTCTTCTACCTCCTGGGCCAGCGCTCTTTTGGCTGGGCCACACTGCCATCCTCCCGGCTGTCTAGGGTTTGGTTTAGCCCAGTGGTGGAATCAACACACAGGTGTCTTCTGAGTCCCAGATGCCACAGTATCTTTCATTATTTTCATCATGACACACTCCTCCCTCCAAGAAGAGACTGGGCTTAGAAGGGGCTGGGGCATGGGGTGTCCGGACCTGCCTTGGGCTGAGATATTTATTGGGGTTTATTTGAGTTCCTTCCCCTCCAAGGGGCCCATATGCTGTGGTGGATGATGACATCCCGTCCTGGCAGTAGGAGGCAGGTGACAGGGACGGATTGTTCTGTCTGCCCAGTGGCCTCGGTGCAGTGGAGCTGTGGAGCCCGTGCCGGCAGATGGGAGACCGGATGGGTCCCTGCTTCTTGGGCCTTTGTTTTCTCACCAAGAAGCTCCATCCTCTCTGAACTCATCTCTCCAGACGTGCTGGGTCAAGGTCTTGGGGCAGGAAGAGGGGAAGACAGGAACACCTGATACAAGGGGTCCTCAGATGGCTCCCACTGCTCTCAGAGTGAGACCCAGATGCCTTGTCCTGCCAGCCGGGCCCTGGGGAGGACGCGAGCCCCAGCCGCCCAGGCGCCATCCTTCGACTTGCTCGGCAGAGGTGGCTGAGCGAGGACGCGCCAGGGAGCCAGTCAGAACAGGGTCCCAGCTGGAGCATGAGGCTTTCATCAGCTGCGTGCCGGACCCGCCCTCCCCGGGTGATGGGAGAGGCGATGGGTGCAAGTGGGGCCGCCGCTTCTCGCCGTCGGGCACACCCTCCATGGCCCAGAAAGGCTTTTTTGGCTTCTTGGCCCAGGTTCGGAGAAGTCTGCCATCTACAGAGACGTCTCATTGTGGAACTCGTGTGTGTTGTTTGTGTGTCTGTGTGTGTGTGTGTGTGTGTGTGTGTGTGTTGTGTGTGTTGTGTTTGTGTGTGTATCAGGGGTGGGCAGTGGGAGGGATGGATGCCTTTGGAAGAGGGAGTCTAAGGCCTTTAACCTCACTTCACTGAGAACAGACCCTCACGGGGTGTGTGAGATGAGAAGCGGGCCCGCAGCCCCCCTCCTCAGGCCGCAGAGCGGCTCTGCCTCCAGCTTGCCCAGCAGAGCAGCGGGCTGAGGGTGGGACCTGTCACATCGTTGCTGGCAGGAACCAAGAGGGACGCCTGGGTCCTGGCCCTCCCTGCCCAGGCCGGACCAGCTGTCAGCGAGCTGTCAGCCCCTCACTCCAAGCAGAGAACGTGGGTGCCTGCTGCACACCAGGCCCGGGCCAGGGGTGGGGTGGGCTGGGGGGTGTCTCGGGGTGGGAGAGCCTGCCCTCCGACAGGCGGGCACATGGCCAAGGAAAAGCTCACTTCCCTTTCTCTTGGTTTTAGGAACCAGGCCATGTAGGCAGCCGTTTGTGCCCATCTCCTCCTGCGCCAGGGTGGAAAGGCCTTTCTTTGATTTAGCAGAACCTCGCTGGCTGGCTCAGAGCGGGGCCAGGCTGGGTCCCCTCAAACCTCCCTAGTATTTCTGGAGCCCTGCGTGGTGCACATTAGGTGGGAAGTCTGTGCGGACTGAGAACACTGGCTGCTGCTGACAGGAGCAGCTCCCCACTGACACCTTTCCAGCAGCTGTACTGAGAGCTAACGAACACTTATAGAGCACTTACTGTATGCCAGATGCTCATCTAGGGGCTTAACACAAATTAACATATTTAATCCTCCCAACAAACTTATGAAATGGACAGCATTATTGCGCCCATTTTATAGACCAGGAAACTGAGGCATAGCGAGGTTAACTGGCTTGCCCAAAGTCACACAGCCGGAAAGTGGTGCAGCCGGGGATTACTGAGTTTGACATCTGCCTCCTGGCACATTCGCAGCCTCACCCTCAAGAGCCGGGCATAGAGGAAGGATGGAGAAGGGGTTCAAGGCAGACCATCTCTTGCTGTAGAGATGGGCTTCCACTGGGCTCCAGTGATCCCCAGAAGGGTTTTGGGAGTGGGCTGGGGGAGTAGCCCAGGGAGCAGGATGGTTGGGGGCTCAGCTCCAGGGAAGATGGGGGCAGACCAAGTTTACTTCTCAGGAGAGCCCCTGGGACAGCCACTGTCTCCCCTCACCATGCCCGGGCTCTTGGAAGGCTCCCGAGGCAGTGCAGTGCCAGCCAAAAGCTGCTTCTTTGCTGGGTGGAGGCCCTGCCCAGACGCCCCTTTCCTGTCTGGGAAGCTGGCTGAGCTGTGGCGAAGGCCCTGGAGCCGTCTCCCTGCCCTGACCCCATGTCCCTCCAGCCAGCCCCTCTGAGCCACCGCTTCCCCTCAGGCCCCGGGAAGGCAGAGGAGTCTCCAGCCAGCGGCCTGGATTTAGAGATCTCACCTCTTCTCCTGGCAGAAGGAATCCTTCTCATTTCCTCCCCTCTCCCTAAAAAGGGCAGGAACTCTGTGCCCTCCAGGTTTTGCCCTTCCATGTGAATTCCAGACCCCTTCCATCTCTTCATTATCCACTTTTGAAGGCCTTAAGACTCATCTCCCCTGACCTGGACCCACTGCAGTTAATTTTTCAGACCTAGCCCAAGACTGAATATTTTTTAGGGAGAAAAGCAGTGTGGGTTTGGGCCCAGAGATTTTTGCCTCTGAAAATTTTCTGGAATCCTGATTCCAATGTCCATTCTCCCCCTCCCCCTTGTATACTGATGATAAATTTGGGAATCTCACTTAAGTCCATTGGTGGCCTCATGTTGGGGGCGACATAGGAACTCACTGTAAGAAGATGCACCCCCACCCCCAATTTTCCAGGCCAGGCAACCTCAGTGCATCAGAAATCAAGCCCGCTCAGCAAGGTCAGAGCCGCTTGAAGCCCCTGGAAAGGGGTGGGTGGGACAGGAGGAAGGGTAAGGGAGACAGAGGGAGAAGGGGCCAAGGCAGAGGTCCGCCCAGAGTCTGTCTGTCATTTCCACGAGCTCTTCACAAACAAGGCAACTCACCTGAGCCCTTTCTGAGTTCCGGGAGGTGTCTGTGAGCACCTGCATAAAGGGGGTTTTGGACCCTAGAACATGGCAAGTGCTGGGTGAATGCAAAATGAAACAGGCTTCTTGGAGGACTTCTGAGAACTTTGGGGAATCTCCAGAAGGAGGGGCGAGGAGGGCCCTCCCAAGCTGACTGGCCCACAGAGCCCATTTTGGGGTGTGGGGAACGCCTGCTTTATCACCGGCAGCGGCAGAATTCTGATTTAGCAGAAGGATACCTGGGCCAGGGCATGGTAGTAGTGGGTGGTGGTCTAGGCCCCAGCACAAACTAGCTGGGGGTCCTTGGGCAAGCCACAGCTCTATAAGCCTCAGTTTCCCCATGATCTGACTCTCATAACTTCAGGCCTAGATTCTTCAGGGGACCATTGTGCGGCGGGAAAAGAGAACGTGTGGCTGATGATAGTGTTGTCTCTGAACACTCATGAAATAACTGATAACCACCTCCCAGACCCTCCCTTCCCTAAACTAATCACATTGGGCTTGATTCCATAGGCATCACACTAGTCACCATGGACCAGTCCTTATGCTGGGTTTGGGGAGGCTCCAGGGACATTTGAGAAGGCAGAAGCAATCAGTCCCTGGGTTTTCAACGATGCGCATAAATATTCAAGTTAGACAACACACTATAAAGGCCAATTCAGGCTCAGCCCCAGCATTACTGGGGATACAGGAGGTGTCTGAGCAACCACCTCAGGGGCCTCAGATCCCCCCGAGAGACAGCAGTGTTGTGACACAGGATGGGGCTACACAGCATGTGCGGCGCGGACCTGTCAGGAGGCTGTGGCCGCTCAGGTCTGGAGCTGGGGGTGGAAGCCCTCCTCAACCACTCAAAAGAGAAAGTGGGCTTTGAGCCAGGCCAGAAAATAGCACTGTGAATTCAGAGTCTTAGCAAGTGGGCAAGAGCCTTCTCAAAGCCTCCCTCCCAGCTCCCCTGATGCCCTGTGTGCATAGGAGGAATGGCTCTTGGGGTTAAAGGGCCTCTGGAATGAGCTTCAAATGGCTCAGCATGAAGGATTTGAGAACCACTAGTGTGCACTAAGCTAGTTTGGACATATACCATCATCATCACCACCAATACCACCATTTCTGCCTCCATCATCATTGCCCTACCATCAACGACACCACCATCACTACCTACACCACCATCACTATTACCACTATCACCATCATCACCACCACCATTACCATCTCCACCACCACTTCCACCCCTATTACTATTACCACCACCTCCACCCACCATCACCACCTCCTGTACCATCCATGGCAGCACTACTGTCATCACCTCAATTACCACCTCCACTGCCATGACCACCATCCACTTCATCACATTTTCCACTCGCCTTTGACCACACAGATAAGACTGCAGAATCCAACCATGAACACCTCTGCTTTTAACTGTCTGCACCCTAAATACTCATCTTCATGTCTCTTTGCTCATCATCAAAGAGATAAAGCCTGACCATACATCATACTGGGCGGAGTGTGCATCCTGGTGTGTGCAGAACAGTTCCAAATCATGCCCGTTGCCCCTGCTGCATTATTCATAGCTCCCTCTTTCACTCAACTCTGCCCTGGTTTGCTTGACACATTACATGGTCACCCTAGTTAAGGCTGTGGTCCAGCTTCTGATGGACCCCCAAGGAAGCTAACCCAAAACAAAGCCCGGTGGGGTAACTGGGAGGACATGAGACTCCCCTGCCAGTTATTGAAAACTAATGGATGTCCCTGCCTCCCCATCCCCTGCCTTCCCCGCCCCTCCACCCGCTCCCAGGAAACCCCTGAGAAAGGAGGAGAATGGCACCGGTGTCGCTGAGTATCCCATGACTTCCTCACAGAGCAGCAAAGGGGTGGACGTGAACAGCGCCGTGGTGTGAGGCTGCAGGCCCAGGACCCGCTGGCCAGAGGGGCACCTTGGTGGCACTAGTGGATGCGGGAGAGCAGGTGGACACGAGCTGACCCTGGGCTTGTCCGGGACCTCATTGCCTTGCAGGCCTCGAACCTCCCGAAGGAGAAACCATCCTCTTCCCAGCCTTGCCCCTGGTCAGCCCGTGGACAGGGGCAGCGGACTCCAGGCTGAGCCCGGCTCACCTGCACGCGGCACCCGGGCAGCACCACGCCCGAGCCTCCCCAGGTCTCATCCGCATCCTGTGTTTGGTCTGCTGACTGTCTCCCGGCTGCTGTCTAAAGCACACGCTCTGAGAAGGCAGGGAGCCTGTCTGCTGGGGCAGGGAGGCATCCCCCTTTAACGAAAAGAAAAGTGGTCCAGAAAACTTCTCCTCTTCCCCAGGAAGCCCGCCTGCTTCTTCCTTGACTATGCTGTTTCCAACCAAAGCCATGGGCACAGCCATCAGAAGTCCCCTTTCAAAGGTGCTTCCCATACATCTATCCACTGCCCCGTCTGCAATTGTCTTCAGTCTGCAGAGCCCGCCTTCTCCCTCCTGTCCCCACCGACACCTGGGGCCCCAGCTCTGGCCTCCCTGCCCCTGTGGGCTGTGAAGCCCAGCCTGCAGAGACCCCTCCTGACTGAGCTAGGGGGCCCATTCACACTCCGGGGTCGTGTCTGGCCTTCCAGGGTGGAACCACTCACTGAATCCTAGGCCAACGGCCTGGGAAGGACAGGGGCCACCACACCTGTTCTCAGACTCGTTCTCTCACCTGACCCTTGTAAGGACCGACATTTCCTTGTGAGCCAGGCCCTGCCTTCCCCTGGCAGAGGCCACCACTTGTGCCAAACCCACCACAGTCGCTCTGGGCTGGGCCCACCCGGCCTGGTGCTGGGTCGCCCTGACACTCCCCTGAGGCCTGACCAGGTACTCTGACCCTCTCCTGAGAGCCCCCTGGACTCCCTTTATCCAGAAGGAGGCAGTGTCCTTCGTGTGGCTCCCTTTGAATGTCTCTTTCTGAGGTCTTGTGTTCTAAAAGTGCCGAACCCTCTGGAGTGGTTGGTGGATGAAGGGGAGGAAAGAAGATGGGAGGAGAGGGACCCTTCAGGCCTGGTAACTCCCATCTACCCGCCTGTTTCCCAGGCGGCCGCCCTGTCTCGCATCCCCTGGGGGATGGGGAGAGCACTCCCAGCCCCGTGGTTCTCTCTCCACCCACACACTTGCTCAGAAGGAACCAGACACAGCCAGCGGTTCCACTGTCTGGCTTTGTAGGGACTAGGTGGACCCCATCTGCCTCTTAAACCACCAGTGTTGTTCCCCAGAGGGTGTTTAGGCCACAGGTGAGACCGACAGACAGAAAACCAGTCCCCATTTGGCTGAACCTTGAATCATCCATCGTCCCGGAGCCCTAGTGCCCGTGGACTTGTCTGTGTGCCGAGAGCAGGGGGAGAAGGTGAGTGCACTGTGACCCTAACCCAGGTCCTGCCCCCAGGTCGGTGGGTACAGGCTGAGGGCAGGCCCAGGGCAGACCCTTCCGGAAAAGGTTTTTCATTCTTTTCAGTTTCCCTCCTGTGTGAGGACTTGGTTTTGCTTTGGATTGCATTTTGCTGTCCCTGTGCACCTTAGCATGGGGCCACTTGTGGCCTTCATCCCCCTCCGCCGCCAGTGAGCACTGTACAGTACTCTTGGTTGACGCCCTCCATTTCCCAAGGGAGGCAGGGCTGGGGGACAAGCAGGCCAGAGGCTGTGAGTCCCTAACAGGGCAGACCCCCACCTCCTACTGCAGTGCACTTTCCCCCAGTGCCCACAGTCACCTGCTGTGTCCCCCACCTGTTCCCTGAGCAGACACCCCGCCCTAAGCACAGCCATCCTGGGCTCAAAAGTGATGAGAGTGCACCTTGGGCCAGAGGGAAGGATTCTGGCTAAGGGGTCATGGAGTGCTGTGCAGCCAGGCTAGGGGGACATTGATGGAGGCAGGGCACAGCCCAGCTTTGTGCAAACCCACTGGTCCCACCTTCTCCAACCCAGGCTTAAACCTAGGAGGCCCAGATTTTGCAATTAGCCTAATCCTCCAACCCTGGCGAAGCTCCGCATGAGGCACCCCAGTGAACCATCCATCCCTCACACGCTGGGGCCGGTATCTCCTTCCCTGGAAACACACAGCCAGGGCTCCGGGAAAAGCTAACGTTTGCTCGTGAATTCCCCCGAATTGGGTGTGTCAAATCTCTTCTCACCCAGTTAGTGAAAACCAAGCGAAGAGCCCAGCTTTGCGAAGAGGATTCACTTGGGAACGAACCCAGAACCATCCAGTTAGAAGCCAGTTCTCACGGGTGCAGTGAAGGAGCCCTGCTGGATTTTCAGCTTAAGCCACAGAAGCATCCATAAAGCTGCTCCAGCCTGGTATCTGAGCTTAGAGCTTATTTAAGGAATGTATCTATTTGCAGCCCCTGAACGAGTACCAATCCTCAGACTAGTCTGAACTCCCAGGTCCAGAACAAAATGCACATTCCTTCTCTGCATTTCCTCAAATAGATATTTTTCAGCCGTCTCCTAGTCAAGACCAACTTTAGAATGGCGCATAGGCTCTCGCAGTTTTCAGGTGTTCCTTAGACGCTTCCAAAGCAAGTTTTGAAAGAAAGACTAATAGCTGTAAAAATATAGACATATATATTATACATAGTTATATATATTTAAAGAGATACCTATATATATACATGAACTGTACTCTCTGAATCTGTACAAAGTATGATTTAAGCAGCCCAGGTAGTGTGAGGCACCTAATGCATGAATGAACGTGAATATCCTGAGACCTGCCTTCCTGACAGTGTGCTGCGCGCACACGGGAAGGTGGCTCATGCTCCCAGGAGCTCCATCTCAACGGACAAATAGACACTTCGGTGCCGTCTTGCCCACCAACAAGCCACTGATGTCGACTTCGTGCTGACATGTTGCACAGGAGGCAGGACCTGCAGCGTTGGGGGTGGGCTGTATGCTAATTACTGGGAAGAAAGCACCATGCCTTTTTTATTTTCAATAAAAATACACTTATAAAGATGGCTGTTAGTTGTCCTTTGTGGCGGGGCCTGGCCTGGCCTGGGCCAGGTGGGAAGGAGAGAGCAGACTGAGTGTGTGCTGGGGGGATGGTGTAGGCTGGGGGTCCTTCCTTGAGGCCCTGCTAGAAACCCAGGTACCTGGGTGTGCCTTGTTTCTGTATGTTTTTGCAATAAACCCCTGAGGCCAGCATGGGTGAAGATTCTAAGGTACCAATCTTTTCCCTCATCCCCGAGCTGGCTGCCTTGATCCTTGACTCAATTGAGAAGAAGGTGGCCAACCATCTTAGCTCGCCTGGGACTAGGGTGTTTTCTTAAAACGTGGAACATTCAGACTTAAAACCGGAAAAGACCTGGCAGACTGGACAAGCCAGTCACCCTAATTTGACAAGTGTTCGTAGGAATCAAGGGGGCAGAATCAACGGGCCACACTGCAGGGGGGACAGGTCAGGCCTGTGGCCAGTGACGGGCTCCTACTATGTCCACCCTCAGGTCTAGACCCCGGCCCCCCAGTGTCAGTCGGCTGCGCCTCCTCCATCACTGCTCAGAGCAGGCAGAGTGGCCTGTCCTGCGCCCCCGAGCACAGGAGTCCCAGAGAGCACGGCCCGCTCCAGTCCTACCAGGAGCAACCCTCCTTACCAGTGCTTTTGGAGGAAAGAGGTTCCCACTGATGGGCTGGGAGGGATGGAGAAAGAGGAAACAGTGGCTCCTGCAGCACCATCGTTTTTATCCGAGGAGTGAGGAAACGGTTTGGAGACAAGTGTGGCTGCCAAGGTCACACAGACATCAGGAAACGGGTGGGGCTGGGGTTTGCACCTAGACTTGGGTGTCTTCAGCATGCAGCCACTGGACACAATGGAGGAGGACCCCAACCCATGCTGTCTCCCCAAGGTTGGGGTGCTGCTGGGCTGTCACCCCTACCTGGGCTCCCCACGGCTTCAGAGTCAGCTCAGTGGAGGCAATCGGGAGGGCTCTGCGTGCCCGCACCAGGCATCTGGCGTCAGGGCAGCGGAGGGGAGCTGTGCAAGCCTCCCTGAGAGCCAGGAGGCATTCATCTCAGTAGCACCCCTGCCACCACCTGGGATCCCACGAGCTGCCATGTGCTGGAACTTGACACGTGTTCCAGCTAGTAGGCACAGCGTGAGTGGTGGCCGTCAGTGCTGTCATTGTCATTGCTGTCATTAATAAAAGGCTGCCATCCAGGCCAGAGTGAGAGCTCCCCCACCCGTCGGCCGCCTATGCGGGTCCTCCCTTGGAGGCTGGAGAGACTCGGTCACCTCAGGCCTTGTACTTGCTCCGTGCACCCCGAGCTGGCCGCACTCCCAGCAGCAAACCCCAAGGCCAGCAGGGCATGAGGCAGGGAGCACCAGGCATGTGGGGGAGGCTCTGCGACTCCTGCAGGTGCCCCAGGGGCGGGAACCAGGGCCGTCCTGGGAGGAAGGGGGTCGAGGGGGGGACAGGTGCTGGGGAGCTGACAACACAGCTGCAGACCCCTCCCGGGGCCATTGTCATCTCTACCTGGCACCCTGGGGCTTTTGGCCACTTGTTCGAGCTCTGGGGACCAAGCCAGCAAACAACAGCGTGTGCTCCGGCCACCTGCCTGCCTTGTGCCCACCCGGTGAGCCTCCCACCTCCGGCTCTGGGTCCTGCTACCACCGCGCAGGTGTGAGACACAGGGGGACCCACAGGGGCGACGCGGGTGTGCAGGGATTACTGCCCCGACCAGTGGGCAGCGGCAGAGAGGCGCCCCCGCCTTCCTTCCCTGAAACACCGTGCTGAGACACCACTTCGGGGCAGCACGGGAGGTGGGCCTGGGAGGTGGAGTGAGCAGCGGCACTTGATTCCAAGTGGTGGCCTCACTGTGGCTTCATCTGTAAGCACACTCACCCACCGCCTGGCTAGTGACCAGCCTACTGGACACCCACTTCCTCTCCAGCACCTTCCCCTGCCCACCCCACCCCGACCAGGGACGAAGTGCCTTTAAGCTCCCTCCTCCCTCTTCCGAAGTTAGCTCTCAGGAAAGCATCTGACAAATTCCTTGATGTCGCTTTTGTTTTGTTTTGTTTTTTTAAACATTTTTTATTGAGTAATAGTCATTTTACAATGTTGTGTCAAATTCCAGTGTAGAGCACAATTTTTCAGTTGTACATGAACATACATATATTCATTGTCACATTTTTTTTCAGTATGAGCTACCACAAGACCTTGTACATATTTCGCTGTGCTATACAGTATAATCTTGTTTATCTGTTCTACATATGCCTGTCAGTATCTACAAATTTTGAACTCCCAGTCTGTCCCTTCCCTCCTCCCGCCCCCTTGGCAACCACAAGTTTGTATTCTATGCCTATGAATCTGTTTCTGTTTTGTATTTATGTTTTTGGTTTTTTCTTAGATTCCACATATGAGCGATCTCATATATTTTTCTTTCTCTTTCTGGCTTACTTCACTTAGAATGACATTCTCCAGGGACATTCATGTTGCTGCAAACGGCGTTATGTTGTCATTTTTATGGCTGAATAGTATTCCATTGTATAAATATACCACATCTTCTTTATCCAATCATCTGTTGGTGGACATTTAGGCTGTTTCCATGTCTTGGCTATTGTAAATAGTGCTGCTATGAACATTGGGGTGCAGGTGTCATCCTGAAGTAGGGTTCCTTCCGGATATGTGCCCAGGAGTGGGATTCCTAGGTCATAGGAAGTCTATTCCTAGTCTTTTGAGGAATCTCCATCCTGTTTTCCACAGTGGCTGCACCAAACTGCATTCCCACGAGCTGTGTAGGAGGGTTCCCTTTTCTCCACAGCCTCTCCAGCATTTGTCCTTGACATCGTTTTGATGCTCTGTCTCCTCTTTCCGTCCCTGGCACAATCAGTGCCACCAGCCCAGCATCACTGTAACTGCCCTGATCCGGCACATCCAACCCCTCAGGCCACCTCTCCTTCCCATCCTCTACTGGAGAGCAGCTCTCCTGATTGTGCATCCTTGGGCTCCTGACATCAGCTGTTAATCATGTGTTCGTTCATTCATTCATTCTCCAAATACTTAACAGAGCATTTCCTACATGCCAGGCAGCACACTAAACACTGGGGTTCAGCTTTCCCGACATTTGAGGTCCCAGTTCCTCCCTATCCTCAAATCTGGTGGGTCATGCCTTGGCCCTGCAATCCTCTCTCCAGTCCCGCCTCCACTCTCCCAACCTTCTGGTCTCTCTCTCCACCTCCCCTAAGCTCTCCCTCATTCCATCCAACCTCCGTCTGCCCACAGGTGCTTCCTCAATCCCACCCCATTGGTCACTATGGACCCCTCCTTGGCCACAGTCTTTCACCTGGCTACCCTCTCCCACGCCATTCCACACGGCTCCTCCCCACCCACCCCAGTGCACCCCGACTGTCCAGCAAATAGGACTGTCTGTAGGCCTCAGGCTCCCCATTCCCACCCCTTGGCTTGGCTTCTCTGTGCTCACCCGGCCTGCCTCTCCCTCCTGCTTCTACGTGGCCACATCTTATCCTCTGTGTGGATCTTTTCAGAGGCTGCCTCCTCCGTGACCACACGGACCATAATCCCAGTCGTGCACAAGCCTGGGCGACTTTCGCCTTCTCTGGATGGTGCAGACGGCTCTGCAGGGGAACTTTCATGTCTGCCCTCTCTCAGGAATACTTCGTCTCTCTTGTCTGAACCTGTTAGCCCCTGGAGAGCCTGTGTTCGCTCCTACCCTAGGTGTCGACCATGCTGTGTCCTGGGGATTCAGAGACACGGGATGGGGCCTGGCCCAAGAGTGGTTTGGCGGCAGTGATGCACAGGGATGGTGACACCAGTGTGGAGATGGAGGGATACCTGGGGTCGACTTCCCAGCACTTCACATACATTATCTCTTTCAACGCTTCCTGCAAGGCTAGGAGGCAAGAAGATCATCCCCATTTCACAGAAGAGTAAACTGAGGTTCAGAGAGGTTAAGTGGCTTACCAAGGGGTAAAAAAGTAGTAAGTGACAGAGCTGAAATTCAGACCTAGTTCTGTGTGGCTGCAAGTTCTAGGCCCTTCCAACCCAGACAGGCCCTTGGATTTCAAATGGTCCATCCCAGCTAGATTTATACCCAGTTATCTTCCCAGCCGTGGGAAGCAAACAAGACACTCAGCCTCCTCTGCCCCCAGAAGCCGGAGTCAGGGATTCGTGGATCTAACATGAATCAATTAATATGTGACTTCTGGCAAGTCCCCCTTCCTCTCAGAGCCTCAGTTTTCTCATCTGTAAAACAGGAGGAATAACCTCTGGCCAACTGCTTTCCCAGGATGCGCACACGGATGGGACTGGAACGGTCCCAGCATCACCAGATTGCGGCCAGAACACTTGGGTCCTCACACCCAGCCTGCAGGAGCCTGAAGCTCTCCTGTCTTCTCTTCACGTCCCTTGGGGGCTTACATCTGGCTCCGGACTTCAGACCCCTCAGGCTGTCCCCGCTCTGCACCAAGCCAGTCATCACAAGAATACAGCCCCTGCTTCCTGGGTCTCCCCAGAAGATCCTCCAAGTCCTATGAGACATCCTCATGTGGGACAAGTTAAGGGGAGCTTTGTGCAGGTGGGTAAGGGGGAAATTGACTTCTCATTCAACACTGGCACCTGTGTTCTGAGGCTAGTCCCAGCCCCCGGGATGGAACCAGAGATGGGCCTGAGACACAGGCGGCCCCTCTTCTCACACTTCAAGGAGGCCTCACCACGGCCATGTTGACCACAGACCCGGGGAGCCCCTCCACCCAAAGTGAGGAGCCCTCATCAGGCCCCAGAGGGGCAGTAGGGTTCCCCAAAAACAGAGGGGCCTGCAGGGCTGCCCCAGAACAATGCATGTAAGTGGGAGCCCTGGGCCTCTCGCCTCCCATTGCCCCGATGCACACGGCCTGCTCCCCCCCGGCCCCGTCCACTGCCCGTTGTTGGGCACAGTGGCCTGAAGCACCCTCGGGACCCAAGTGCCTGACTGGGGGCCTCACACTTGGTGTCTCTC